ACTCATCAGGCCTTTACATTAGACACCACAGCAAATGTATTGAAAAAAAACAAGTTAATGAGAGTCTGTAGGTGTTTACCGATATGTGTTTGTGATACTGCGTCATAATCTTGAGATTATCACTGATGCAGAACAAAAACTTTTCATCAAGGCGTACATGTACACCATCACTGTAGCATGTGTGTATGTGTGTAGCCAGAGGGTATTTATGACATCCTGCATTATTAAACATGACTTGCCCCTGCGGCAGACTGATGTGGCAGTGATTATAATATCCAGATAATCATTTCAAACAAATTATTATAATTATCAATCAATCATGAGCCCATTTAAACAGGAGGAGGGACGGGGGGAGTGAGGGGCTGTTGGCAGAAGGTAAACTATGGCCTGAAGCGCTGGATCACTTCTGTGACCCACGAGCCTCCCTGTGTCCACATAATCACCCTCATACATTTAGGGCCATTTAGGGTTGTGCATTTAGAGACCCAATTCCCCTGTTTGGTGTGAAAAGGAGGGGGCGGTGGATATTTGGTGCCTGCAGGATCAAATCTTTCAACATTTCAAAACTTTAAAGAACAACATTCATCCCTGCAAGGAGAATGCATGTCCTCATTCAGTGAAACAGATCAGAAAAAGACGAGCCAAACAGACCGGGGTGAGACGATTTGATCGTCTTACAAAGATATTCCTCTGTGTTTTTTCACCGTAAATCCCCAATGAAAAGCAACACGAACTGATTCGATCTCTATTGAGGGGTGAATGAATGAGGTTGGGAGAGAGACGACGAAATTGAGAGAGGAGTACATATAGAAGGAGAGAGAGACAGATAGTAGCCTTCGGGAGAGAGATGATCGTCTTGGGAAAAAAGCAATCAGTGCTCATTGATTTTCCTCTGCCAGTTGAATGGAGGGTGTCTATCTGGAAGTCATTATCTGTCATCCGATCTGCAGGAGTGTTTACACACGTCGGCATGGACAGCAGCGCTCTTCTGAAGATGAGGATTAACACACACACACACACACACACACACACACACACACACACACACACACACACACACACACAAAAACAGAACACAGACTGTCCACTTCTCACCCAGTTCTCCATCTAACCACCACTTTTAAATCCACAGATTCCAAAAGGAAATTCAAGTCCTCTGGTACTCCATTAGCATCCACACACACACACACAAACACACACACACACACACACACTTTGGTGAATGTATTGTGTGTGTGAATGGAAAATGTACACAAGCAGGGAGCTGGACAGCTAAACAGACAGATAGTCCTGCTTTGTATAGCCTGGCCAGACTAAATCAAACAATCCCTGATCCTATCGCTAATAGGCAACGATAACAATCTTGAGCTACAACAACACCATCCTGTCTGCGTAAAAGCAGCGAGGGTTGAACTAAGTGGAAGAAGGTGGAGGAAGAAAGCAAAGAGAGGATTCAGATAACAGGTCGTTTTCATTTGCTGAGTGTGGGTGGTGTGAAGATGCATGGGACTTTTTATTGCGTGAGTGTAAGCCAGTGGGGTTTAGAAAGCCCAGGATATGAATCCAGAGCTTTAAACGCCACACACACACACACAAACAGGTCCGAGGGCAGCTTTCAGTAAGTGGGCTAGAGAAGCTACAATAATATCTTTGCTTTTATTGTATCTGCTGCCTTATCCCAAAGTTTAACGCTGCCTCTCGTTTTGTCCTCCTCTCAGACAGACAATAATACTCTTTTCAGACCCAGGGCTCACACCACTGACGGCTTCAAACAGACAGTTTTAAATAAAATGTTCCATTATTTGCATATTTGTGTCTTTGTTTGGAAAAAAAATAACATGTATAATTTTACCCTTAAGATGATAAAATCAAAACATACCAATGTTTTTCACTTTGTTTCATTGTCTTAAACATTCTGCATCCCATCAAAAGCAGATTTAACAACACTGAGAATGCTTCGGTTGCAACCATCTCTGCTAACATAACATATTTTATAATAAAACACAAACAGTCCTAAACTAAATCTAAAGCATTCCTTATTTTCCCAGAAAGTGGCCTCTGCATGCATCAAACAGCCATACTGAGCAGGTTTTATGCACATGTTGTAGGAGCACACAGGGAAAGTGTGTTTGGGACACATCTAACCCTCACAGTAGCAACAAATGGAAGCAAACAACACAAAGTAACACAAACACACCTTTAAGCAATGAGCTCATTTATTCCCAAGTTACGACTCAATTAACACCCTGCTTTAATTAAGCACAGCAAAGGAGCTGGAGCTTTTTGTCTGTATGCAAGCCTTTGTCCTGCATTTGTGCGTGAGTGTGTGTGCATGCGGATGAATGAGTCATGTCATAAGAAATGGCTCATGCATGATTTCATTCATATTCATAACAAGCATGTGGTCTGCCACCACCCGACGAGGGCCCACCACAACTCACACTCCACATAATGAGACGTAGCGGGTGTGTTTTTACTTACGGTAGGAAGGCGTACACTTTAAGTCTGTGTTTTGTCGTCTGTATGAGTGTAGATGCCACGCTCATGTTTTGTGTGTGTGTGTGTGTGTGTGTGTGTGTGTATACATGACACTACCACCGATTGTTCACATGAATGTGTGTCTGTATCCATAAGATTATGCATGAGTGTCCATGTGAAAGGTGGTTAGGTAGTTTATAGAACCAAGTAGTTTTTTCCATATTGTACAAAAATGTGGGCAGCACTGAACAGCCCAAACCATCTGAGGTCAGCCTTTAAAATAAGCTCATTGACTAAATGCTGGATTTCTGATCTACCAACCAGTCTGTGATTTACATGCTGGCTTGGCTGTTTACACAAAGCGAAGAGAGACCCTTGACCTATATATATGCTTTTAAAGCCAGACCGGTCATAACTAAACATTATGGCTATAGGACGACTTTAAGTTTACTCAATTACAGCTGACACTTGAAAATTTTGAATATCGTGCAAAAGTCATTACATGCAAAGCCAGATATTTCAAGCCTTTAATTGCTATTATTTTGGTGATTATGTCCTACAGCTTTTGAAAACCCCAAATTCTAAATCTCAGACAATCTCAGTTCAAACCTCTAAGCTCAAAGTGTCACACTCAAATCAGTTAATTAATCCAAAACTCCTGCAAACGGTTCTTGAGCCTTTAGATGGTCTCTCAATCTGAGTTCAGTTAGTGAAATAAATATATTTTTGCACCATATTCTAAATTCTTGAGTTTGACTTGTATTGAATTAAAAGAAAATGTCGTTTTTTAGCCGCTGTAAAAAAAGGCGCCAGGTGACAGCACAAACATCTTTCATTCTTTTTGAAGAAATGCTTTTAGCGCTTCTACTTGTTGTGGTTTTAAAGACATTCTAATCATTTAGAACAGAGGAAAGAGCCACAGCGAACTCCGCCGCTATCTTCGTTGTTTACGAGAAGCTGAGCGTTGCTGTGTGTGACGTCTGCGATGCTGTAGTTTTAATGCTGTTGTCAAAAATGGCGCCTGGCGACAGCGTAAACATCTTTCTTTAGAAGAAAGGCTTTTAGCGCTTCTACTGGTCTTTTTAAAGATGTGTCCAAGTCATTTAGAGCAGAGGAAAAACCCGCAGCGAACTCCGCTTCAGTCGCCATGTTTATGAGAAACACTGCGTTGTGGTGTGTGATGTACGCTGGTCAGCACTGATTGGCTCGGTTAGACTTCGGACAGGGTGGGGTTAATTGAATAAGAGAGTTCCCAGACCCATTCTCTGTGCAGAATTAAACAGAGGAGGAGTCTGGCAGGCCAGGCTAGGAAGTCTGGGCCTCCCTGCTTAGGCTACTGCCCCCAAGACCCGACCCCGGATAAGCGGCTGAAAATGGATGGATGGATGGATGGATGAATGGATGAATAAATGGATGGATGGATCGATGGATGGATGGATATTCATCAAATAAACTGAAATGCCGCTACACCAGGGGTGGTTCTAAGAGTGGTCCATGGTGGGCCAGTGCCACCCTGACAGCAAGCCTGGGCACCCGTGTAGCCCCCCTTGTTAGGGTGGATCCTAAACATGAATATGTTTTGATTTTTTTTGCAACAAGTTAGCCTAATGCAATAAATAGAACAAGCGCATGCCAATGAATTTACCTAAAGTTGAAAAGAGATGTTGAGGCAAACCACAGACAGATAACTAAGAAATCAAAGTACTTTTAGCAAAATAATTACATATTGAAACTTACTGAAAAACTATTGTATCTGAAACAATTTTAGTTATTTTGTTGCAGTTAGACAACACATTTGAAATACTCAAAGGACACATTTGTGTTGTTCTCTTACATCCCCCAATGTTGGTGAATTATCCAATAAATAAATAATTTACAGCAAAAATAGTTCCACTTTTTTTCCTGTTTTCATATTGTTTCATTTTCCAGCAAAGCTGAAGAAAAATCGACCATCATCTCATTCTAATTGTTTCTGTAAAAAGTATTTAACCTGATCATTAATATAACATGAAAACTGAAGTAAAACTGGAGTCCAGGCTAATGTATTTCTACTCTAAAATGATATCTTAGTGTTGTTTTAAATATAGATTCCAACCCAAACACCGTTGTTTACAGTTGTGACCACTCCTGCGTGATTTCAGGAATTCTCAGGAAGAGCGAACCCTCTGCAGCGGCCATTGTTCTTTTATGGACCATTAGATGGACATGAACTCTCTAGCCATTCTTCTTGACCTTGTGACACTGGCCATAAAAAACAAACAGCCCAGCCTCTTCAATAAATATATCACCCCATAAATCGGTCGGTGACTAGTCAATGAGACGTGTCGGTCACAGCTTGTGCATGGGTGAAGAGGCGACTTTCCGGATTACAGACCATTCAGTGATTGCTGGTTACTAAAACACTTTCCACTCATGTGATCTGGAGGGAGGTTCTGCTAATCAAAGATGATGATTGTATTGATGATGTGTAGTAAACATTTCTTTTGGGTTGTGAAACAAGACAAAGACGGCAAGTGTTCTACCTTTTTGATGCAACTGTCCGGAGAGTCGTCTTCATGGTCATTAATCATCTGCTGGGAAAAACAAAATCATATTTATGCACATGTCAATGGCACGGAAACAAGTTGCAATCAAATTCATTTTGATTCAGAAAATTTTATGAATTTACTAAAAAGCCATTTTGATGATGACCCGTTAGATGGGTTCATCACTGAGCACAGGGCCTTCACAGTTCATCAAACACACCCTCCGGGGTATAAGTGTGATCAGAGGGACACAATAACGGGCCGAGAGGTCACGAAAACACAACCAGAAGCAAACATAACACTACACACATTTAGATGAATGAATGGCTCACATTTGATGTTAATTCTCTGCATCAGCGTTGCAGGAAATTTCACTGAGAGTGTGTGTGTGTGAGTTTGTCAGTGAGAGTGTGTATAATTAAGCCTTCAAGCAATATTTACTAGGGGGGATGCAGATGGGTGGCAGAATGCTCCCAGTGTCTGCCAGAGGAAATGGAGGAAGTGAGGGCATGATGAAGAGATGGGCTTGCCCTGCTGCAATGAGAGGGTGTTTCACACAAAAATGTGACTTCGTCTACCTGTTTCTGTTTCTTCTGATCCGGGAGGATCAAAAAATAAGAGCAATGCAAACGGTTTTGCTGAGAATATTTAGGTCAAGGACCAACATTCAGGATTCAGGTGAAATTACTCCCAACTCTGTCTCCGTGTTGGGCCTTCCTTTTCCTGCACACTATCCTCCACATCTGCCCTTTAACAGTGCCTGTGTTGTACGGACTGTCAGCCTTTATATTAGAGCTGACATATTAAAGTTTGTATTCCCTTAACCTGCGTGGCCTGCTGTGATTGGGAAAGAGACATTTATCTGTTGTGGAATCTCTGCAGGAAACTGTGGGGTTATTCTTTGAATTCTGGCATACAGTAACTTCTTTTATGCACCTTTTCGTGCAAGGCCTCAATTAACAGGAAATAATTACTAATTTAGAGTACAATCTCAAAGTTGTGCACATTCCTGTGCAATCTAGATAAAAATGTGTCCATTTACCCCAATGACACAGAAAATAGCAACTCTCTGTTTATTCTCTGCTTGTGCTTTAGACTGAACCAGATGGGCCACATGTGAGCAGATGTTCTGTACTCTATAGTTTCCTATGCTGTCAAGGGATGTGTTCTACCAAATGGTTGTGATTACACCACAAATACTTACAACAGTGTAACTACTTACTATGAATCTCGAGCAGAAAAAAGGTGCATTGTAAAACGGTAACTTTACATCATGATGCAAAGAGATAATTTGATGAATTGATGAGGTTTATGCAGGAGGTTAGTGTATCTGGTGTAAGACGTGGCCATGTTTAGGACCGGGGTACTACTGATGGTAAAACAGACAGAGAGAGGAGCTGGGGTGGGCTTCTGTTTCTTGTAATGCCCCGAACCATCTGCAACAGTTTACAAAACCAACAGCTTGGCTGGGTCATCTAAAATGCTACCAGGCGCTCAACAGCTACAGGACAATTTCTGGACCCCCCCCCCCCCCCCCACACACACACACACACACACTCCCAGTCTCCTCAGCTACATGCCAAGTGTAAATATGTGTGTGTATCAAATTGTGTGTGTGTGTAACCTAAAACGCCAAAAGACATGCAAGTAGATGAGTGGTTTTACTGATGCCTTAATGTGTTTCAGCTTTGTGTGTGTCTGGGTGGGGGGGGGGGGGGGGGGTCTCAGCCAAGACACTGAGCTCGTTGTCAAAGACACTAATTATGAAGTTTCCCGTTTTTGACTTGAACACATTATTATATTCTGTTTTCTAACTGATAATTAGTAACAAGGTGATTGTTGATGGTTAAAGGACTGGCGATAACAAAGGAGTTTTAATTCATAAAATAAACAGAATGATGGCGACATTGTTGATCCAACGGCAGGTGGAGATCCTCCTTAAACATGGGGTTGCTTTGACTGCACCGACTCACATTCCAGACAAACACTGAATACTCGAGTACCGCGGCAGAACCTTACCAAACAAATAAATACGCAATTAATTAGGGAAGGAAAATGTGATTGCTGCTGACCGACGGAGCTGTGATTTATGGCACGTGTCACCGTCATCTCAAAGTGACTGTTCCTCTGGTGGAGAGACGAGACCAAATACAGACTCGCTTATGTTGAGAGGGATAGATTTTCCACCATACAGAGGGAGGTAAATTGTCCATTTGTTCTATATCTACCCTGCTAAATGCTGACATGTCAATATGGCTTAAGGAAAAGAGAAAACACTGAAGTGAGGGTAATTAGACAGAGTGTGTAAATGTGTGTTTGGGCACACTAACTTCTCTTTCTGGCCCATATGACCTCAAACGTAAACAAATCCAGTCGTGGCTTGATGAAAGTGCAGCCACCTGCAGAATCCTTCCACCAGAGAGTTGTCCAGACTCTCGTTATGAATGTGTGTAACCGAATGTGTGTTTGTATCTCATCATGAGTGAGGTGTGTGCTTTCCCCTTGGGCTGGAGGAACGGAAAACCCCTCCATTATTAGCGTTTCATTGCAGGGTTTTGTTATTGGACCGAGTCAGGAGTTTTTCACCGCCACTTAAGCACCATTCCAAATGACACGGCACGATGAGTAAGCAGACGAATGAAAACACGACGTAGGGAGAGACACTCGGTGAATGGTCTGCTGTTTTGTTTTCACAAGATCTGTCACAGCCTAAAGCAAACGACAGAGCAAAATGAGTCTGAATGTGTTTCTAGAGCTCATTAAATTGACGGGAACACAAGAACGAACCCCCTGGATAAGTCTCTGCTCAAGGCCCATTAGGAACGTATGCTAGTTCTGCACACAACATGGCCACCAGAGTACAGTAAAGTTGTGGCATGCTCATCGTCATCCAGAGAGGAGAAAAGAGAAGATGAGGGCCCCACTTGGAGGTTTGTTCCGTAGGAAAATGTTAGGATCGTGTTGCCAAAAACAATTCGGCTCAACTCCGGATAATGTGAGGCAATACAGCAACATGGCCCAATGGATGACTGCGGATGTCACAAAGCCACAAGTTTCCAAAAAGAACCAGCAGCAAACAAACCTCAAGGCTTTTTGAACCAGGGCCCTGACTGACAAGCCATTGGCTGCAATAGCCACACCAAGAAAGCCACAAATTGAAAGTTGTGCTACACATTTATTGGGAACTGTTGCAGCTTTTTGGCACACTGACAGAGCGTCATTGTGGTGACCCTGCTTCGGATGGGTGATTGAGCTTTCTGACATATAGATGAGACGGGAAGTGTTTTTTTTAATACATATATGTAATTTGTGATGGCTGTGCTGGATAATAAACTGCAGAAACGAGGATTCTGTGTCTAAGCCTAGGACTGATGTTTCTCATGCATGAAACCTTAAGAAAGGAGTAACCACTAAGTCAAACATGATCTCAATATATGGGTCAGCCCCGACTTTATGATTCAGGCAAATTTGATCTAAACTATCTCCAGGACAACGGTAGAAAAGAGTTGTGTCCTCGGGCAAGACTCTTCACCCACCTCTCCTGCTGGTGGTGGTTGGATGTACCTGGGGGCACCAAAGGGGGTAAAGCACCCCCACCTCTGTCTCTGTTGTGGCTACAGTGTGGTCCATCATTGCCAGAGTGGGAATGTGTGCATGGATGAAAGAATGTTGTGTTTTAAAGTACCTTGGGGGGGTTCTAGGACTCTAGAAGGTGCTACAATCACAAAGCAGCTCCCCAAAAAGGAGGAAAAAAATAACTATCAAAACATGTCACCAGTGTTTCTGTATAGTCTGTTCCTATCACATAAAATCCCTGATAAAAAAAAAAACTTTAAAAAATTCTTGGCAGAGATAGTTTGACTGTGGCTACATGACTAATCCAGTCTAGTTTTAGCATCCAGCCAGATAGGGGCAGCTTGTGGCTCCACGTCTTTTCTCTGGCTTCTTTTAAAATGGTGTAAAATGTGGCTATTTCTGGACTTCCCTCAGATAGGGCCTTTGACAGCTGAACCAAAACTAAACCAGGGCTGTTTGAGGTTTTAAATGTGTGCCTTAAAACAAGGTTTCTTGTTGAGTTCAAGAAAAGAAATGAAAAGATGAAGGCGTGAAATCCCAGGACGCTTGACGTACGAGACGCATCTGTGGTTATCTTAATAGGTAGAAGTAGTGCACTCTTGCTCCTGTAATTATACCAGAGCAATATTTTCCTTTATCACTGATACAATCCTAATGTTATTTCACTTTTGCTTGATTTTTATTATTAGAACTTCATTCAACAATGATACAATGGGTAAATGCATAAAAACCCTCCAGAAATGGACTATCGGAAAGATCAAGAACTGATTAGATTGGCTTGACACATAGGACGATGTACTAACGCTGACTCTGTTACCCAACCCCACATCCAGATGGGTCAGGGTGCGGCCTGTGACAGAACATCGAGCTGTTCGAAGACAGAACTTAAGAGCACAAAGGTTAGATTTGGAAGGCAAACAGTCGGGACTATTGTATAGCTCTGAAAAGTCATGGCCACTTATCAAATACAAGAGGCTAATATTTACTGAACGAGCGGTGACCCTGGATGTCCCCAGAGTCTTTGTGTGATTTATGAAGAAAACACTGGTGAGATCTTCTGGCAGGTTTTCCACCGACATCGGACTTCACTGTCCTGCAGGGTTCACGGATCTTGCTTAGACATGCAGCGTGGTTGTCAAAACCTTGTTGCAAATGAGCAAATCAAACACTTGCATTCAAACACCTGAAGCGTTTGAAGTTTCCCTACGAAGAAGCGGGATGCTTGTGCTCACTCAGAAATCAAACCTTGGGAAAGAAGCTCACTTTCATGAGACGAGATTAGGAGGAATGCTAAAGGAGGTGGACGGAGGGGAGGAAGAGAAAAGGATATTGCAAATTTATTAAAAGGGTCATATTTTCACGGGAGCCTTGCACGACCATCCATCACCTGACGTCCTTATCCTTTTAGGGCTGTTGAGTCTGAACTTATGTTGACAGAACCATGCGGATAAATTATCTGCTTGGCCTCTGCT